CGCTGCCCTGCTCCAGCTCGGTCCTTAAACCATCCCTTTGGTACGATGTGTGTACAACACGAGGCACTGAGGTGAACGGGCTGCTGGAAATAAGCCCCCAGGCCATTTGTTTCCTTGTATTCTCCACTCTAAGGAGCAGTAAGCTGTTCCCTTGGTCTTACCCTTCAACTTCGTCTGCTTGAGCACACTACTGTGGTAAACCAGAGGGTCAGCCAGCATGCCCCAGTGCCTCAGCACTGCCTCCCTCTGAGCAGCCCGAGCATGGAAAGACAAGACCCCTAAAATTAAACCTCGCAAACCCTCGCAGCAGCGGCCAGCGCTGTACAGCCGGGTGCACTCGCAGCACCCGGGAGGCCCCTGCGCAGGCCAGGCTCCAACAGAAACCGCCCCACCACGCTTGGCTCAACACAATGGGCTCCTGCTTTCTGACAGGGCTCCTACGTATCACATGAGTAACAGAATAAAATGTAGAGCTGTAAATCACAACTCGACAAAGAAGTTAAGGGAGCACTCTATGGGCAGGGGGCTTTCTTAATGCACCAGTTAGCTTGTAAAAAGCCACAAAACGTTTTAGTAGCTTCCCTCTCTTTTCCAGACAGTTAGGCATGCCTGAGAGGAGGGCTGCCTCTTTTCAGAAATTAACAATAAAACATTTCTATGGCTATTATTATTATAGCCTCACGTAAGCACACAGCAAGAGTCACAATTAACAGGGAAAAAAAAAAAAAAAAAATCAGGATTGTGGATGTTGTCAAGACTGCTTGACCATGAATTTATTTCTCCCATAGTTTCTGTTAACAGCGAGACTGTTGGCAGGCAATCATTACATAACTCACGCTGTACTCCTCTAAAATAGAATTGCTCCTTAACGGCTCTTTCTTGCGTAGAAAGGGAATTGCACAGCACCTGCCCACACGCGGTCTGTTTTTAGCCTGTGCTATCAGTCCCACGCTTCCAGAAGCATTAAAACACACAAGTGTTTTGTTTTTTAGAACTATATTTATAACTTAGGAGAAGAGACAGATTTACACCACAACCCAACGTGCGACAACACAGCAGGCTGCAAGAGCCTTAGGGTGCCTCCCCCCACTGTCTGGTTAACTCAGAAACTCACGTCAAAATGTCATCAGGTTTCTTCTGTTGGAGTCTTTTTCCCAAGCCAAATCCAAAGAAGCACACAGCAAACATAGGTGTCACTCCGACAATAGGAGCTGCCATTCCTCTATATAAGCCTCGGACTCCCTGCAAGAAACGTTATCACAAGAATGACTTGGTTTTGCATAGACTTTGTGCACATTTCAACCCATTGAGAAGGGAAAGGCTACAATACAAGACAGTATCAGTCAGACAGTCAAATCAATCAGAGGAATAACGGGGTCTATTGTTCATTTGCAACTATACACGTTTAGCTGGGGCTCAGGGCCTGCTGCAGAGGAAAGCTATCCTTCCTGGAAAACACTGGCATCACTTTAACTCCCAATATTGCTCATCCTGTTCTTACATCTCAAGTAGGAGGAAGTTTGTGTCAGAAGTGTTCTCTCTCAGATGCATGCATGTGCTTTATTAAAGAGTTATCAAATGCAGTAGTGTAAAATCCTGACACCGAGCCTGAGAATATTGAATCAAATTCACTCTTTATCTAAAGGAAGAGCCAGGGAGACTAACCTGAACTACTTTACTCCCCACATGAACTCAATCTGGAATGAGTTCAAGAGCAAATTATTTTTTCTTTCCTTCCTGAAGTCAAAACTTTTTCACCGTACACCTTTACGTTCCTGATGTTTCCCTTCATCAGACTACACACATAGAAAAACTCTAATGCAGACCTCAGCAGTAGCATTTATTTCATTTATCTTGCCTTTGAACTGAACTTTTTCTAATAAAAAGGCAAGTTATCTTCCTAGATAAAGGCTAGGTGCACAAATTAAATATTTGCTGGTCCGTCTGCCCCTTCCTTCCCCCCCAGATAAATCCCAGTATGTGTCTGTACGCTTACAGGCACAACTGACTCCAATGGAATTGTATCTGGCTGACAAAGATCAGAGGCTCCTGCTCAATCTTCCCATGAGCAGCGGGAAACAAAAGGCCTTGGCAGAGAGGTTTAATAGTTTTCCTTATAGAAACTGATGAGTATTGAGTAGGAGTAGAGAGGCAGCATTACTTTTGAACTTCACATCACAAGGCTATTATTATGGTTCGGCTCTGACGTCCATGCTTCAGCAGGGGTGTTAAAAACCGCAAGGGATTCAGAGCTAGCACGGCATTTCAGCGCTTTGTGGGAGAGACTAGGGAAGCAAGATTTACTTTGGTTATATAACAACTTGGTAATACCATAATAAATGTAGATTTCAGATATGAGGCAGATCTTTCATGTAACAGAGAGTGACCTCACGAGATCCAGTGGCTAGAAACCAGACTTCAGACTAGTGAACGAACAGGTGGGCTTTGCAGCCATTGTTTCCAAATGGTAAATAGCTGCTGGGAAAACTTATGAAGCAGAAAACTGGATGTGACTCAAAGTCTTTAAACCAAGGCTGCATCCCTTTCTAAAAGCCAAATAGACCATAGTTCAGCAACAGGATATGACTGATTCAGGAGTGAAAACCACTGTCCACCTTCTGAAGAAGCCTCAACAAAACTACTATAATTGACCGTCTGTTCCCCAAAAAAAAAAAAAAAAAAAAAAAAAAATTAATTAATGTTCCTCTGCCTTCTCCTAGATGGCGTAACACATTACAGAAGAAAGTAAAAGTACTGCTTGTACCACAAAAGTCATTGCCTATTTTAGGATTTCCAGAGACAACTCCAAATACCAAAGACAGCAAGATTCCACCAACTACAACAACAAAGCTAGCAAACAACCGCCAACGTTCACTCCAGTCTATAACTTCAGATATTAATATCACGCTATTTTGAACCAAAAGCATTTCTTAACAACACAGAGACATGCACCTGGAGCATGTGGACGCTAAGTAATCCCCAAGTTTTGTAATCTGCTTAAAAATTTTAATTAGCATCAATTCAACCGATAACCTGAGGATTGCACAGTCTCCAGGGGGCAACACTCCCACATGGTTCTGTTCCTGCGACGTACAGGAACAACTGATATTTTTGGCAGGCAGCGCAGATGACGTGCTAACGCAGTACCTCTCCAACGAGAGTCTTTCTGAAGCAGTCAAAGGTCCCAGAATAGAGCTGAGGCTGACCAGGCTGCGGCTTGGGCTGGGTTTGGAGTCTGACCTAACAAGACGTGATAAGAAAGCATTATTTTATTACATATTACCATCAAAACTTTGATTCAGAGAATTCAGAACCTCTGCAGGAGTAAGTTTTGTGACTGGGCTTTGTGATATTGGTAGAGATCAAAGTCATTTTAGCCCTTTGCAGAAAAGATTGAATTTTAATGTATCTGATAGTTAATGTATTCAATTGCTGGGATGACGTCAGGATAATAACCCCACCTCAACACCCGAGAGCTAAGGCCGTGTCACCGCTCAGCTCCCTCACACGCTCAATGCTGGGCTCCCCCTCCTTCTGGACCCGGATTTGTGCCCCCACAGTCACTCCGGGCCCCCCGCTGGCCCAGGGGCGCCGGGGCTCCGC